CATAATGGTAAAGTAGACCCCCTCCCCGCTCCGAAATTGCTTTAGTTACTTGTCAACAGGCCAGAGATACTAAAAGTCTTCCGTAAGTCACCTCTAGCTCAGCACTGGCCAGAGGGTGGCGCCATTTCTTGATTTCCTTGTTGTCAGTGACTCTATCCTGATGAAGTTGACAAGCAATCTGACCAACAAGTTAGGAGGTTCTGGAAACTGACACATTTTTGCAAGCAATGTCTTCTTTGCTACTTAACTGCTGAAGAATAAAGGGGGCTTCCTGAGGCCATGGTTTTTCCATCTTGGTGCCATTTTCCCAGTGCTCCAGCTTCCATATCAGATCCACAGACCTAGTTTGCCTGCGATCAAAGGCCAATCAAGAGGGGCATCTCACAGCCCACAGGTACACACGGGGAATGGGTGTTCAGGCTACCTGGACACATGACACCACCACCAGCCCTCCACCATGAATAGTCTTTAAACAACAAACACACTCAAGGCATGCATTAGACAGCACAAGATTTCAGTGGTTTCTTAATGTAGGCGTTGCCTCATCCCAGCTCAGCGGATGTGAAGGAGCCAATTCCCAGCCTGTGGAATATATGGGACCATCATGTCGTCCAGAGGAGCTGTGAGTTTTGTAAGTAGGATCTTGCCCTCCCAGTGACGCACTCTGCTTTCGGAAGTGTTTTTGGACATGGCATACTATTAGTTCCCGTTACATTAGCTTCATTTTCAACTGCAGGGTTCACTGCCCAGCACACTGGAGCAAAGGGGCAAAAGACAAAGGGACAGTCCAGGAAGTAGCCAGCTCTGGGCATCTCTGCACCAGTGGAAGCCCTAGTGCTTGGTTTCCTGTATTAAGCACTGTGAACATGGCCAGAGCTCTCTTCATCGTAGCAGGCAGGGAGGGCAGCTACACAACTCCATGGGCGGCAGCGGCACTCCACTCAGCTAAGCCAAGCTTCCCTTGCCCTGGCTCTCCCCTCCCCACCTGCTTCTCCTGAAGCAGCCATCCTGCTTCTGGCTTCCATGTTCCTTTTCAGGGTGTGTAGTTCTTGCTACTCAAATAAGATTATGTACAGGGTAGAAAAGTCGTTTCCAGTGCAGAAGTTACCAGGTCAGCCAGTGACCCTTGTGGAATCTGAAGGGAATCAAGCCTACAAGTCACAGCTCCCACGTTCTCCAAATTTCTGAACTCAGGGCGAGACTACTATGAGACAGGTGTTTGCACTGAAATAACTGAAGAGCTCTCACCTGGACAAGCTCTCTGGAAGCTGAGCAATAGGAAACCAGAATCTGGAAAGAACAATACAAACTTTTTAAATGCATAGGTGGTGTGTGCGTGTGTGCCTGTGGTGTGTGTGTGCGTGGGTGCATGGGTGCATGCGTGCGTGCGTGCGTGTGTGTGTGTGTGTTGCAGCTTGGTGCTTGCTGATTACTTCTTGCAAAGGTCCCAAATGAACCAGATGCTAGCTGAGCATCCTTCCCACAGCTCTTAGTGGTCAGTGCCAGAGCATCCCCTCTAGCATACAGGTTTGTGTTTCATAGTACCTAGGGATTGCATAAGCACAAATACTTCCTCTGGCACCATGCCCACTATCCTCTTGTTTACCCACACCTTGGTCTCCCTCCTTTTTCTCATGCTAATGCTGGAACAGGTTGTCTTTATGACCTAGAAACTTCCAATGTTGGTGATCTTCTCAAGGTGGGTCTCAAGTCTCAGCACCAAGCTCTTCAGAGGACCCTGTGGCAGAGCAGTCACCATACTCTGCAGAATAGGGCACAGAAACTACACTCATAAACCCCTAAGGCTTGTCCAGAAAACTCGGTACAATAAGAAGCCGGTGGCATGGGAAGAAACTTGAAGAAAGGGTCAGCAAATGAAATCTGGAGCTGGGTCACAAACAGTGGCACCCTTCCTGTGCACCTGCCACTGAACAGGGCCTCAGATCCGGGGTGGCTCAGATGGTGGTGGCTCTGCAGACTGTGTTTCTTGTATTGAGTATGTCACTAGGGAGAGAAGACATGTGTTAAGATGGGTTCAACCTCTGCTCTACGAAAGTTCTGTTAGAAATTTAGTTCCATGTTGTGTGGGCAATTCAGCAAATCCCAGGCCTGCTCACTGTGCCCCGGATGAAAAGTTCAGCGTGGGTCAAAGGGAATAAAAGCCAATTCCTATCAGGCTGCACAAGAGTTCTGCCTCCATTTTCTCAGCTAGAAAATGAGCATGTTTCTGTGAAAACTTATGGATTACTGGATCTAAAGCATTCATCATAGCATTCTATCCTTGGGTGTTCACTCGGTGCTGATTATAGTATTAAAATTGTGATAGGATGCTCCTATAGAATCCACAACTCTGCATCTGCATCCGGGACTATTTCCACACATCTAGTTCTGCAGTACCAGACAACTTCTATAAGTAGTGACCTGGGGAGCTCATTCTCCATTATAACACATGTATGGCCACATCCTTCCTCAGCACACCTGCTGTCCTGCAGCTCTGGTCTCTTCTCCTTGTCTGTGTCACCACAGGTTCAGCCAAAGAACAGCAGGCGGACCTCACTGCCTCATGAAACCCTACCTCCCCATCAGCATTCTTGGGCCATAGGGATGTCTGTCTCCCTCGCCTTTGGCCTTACCCTATGTAGCCTCTAATTTCTGCTAGCTACTGAACCCCCAAAGTGCTCAATGACTCCAGAGAGGGTAATAGAACACTAGCTTTTAACTATGTGTCTCCTTGTCTTTAGCCATTTCTTTTTTCTAACTGAAAAGTCGAGAGACAGATGTGGACCCATGCCTATAATCCCAGCACTCAGAAGTAAGAAGCACAAGATCAGGAATACAAGGCTACTCCCAGGTATAAAGCAAGTTTGAATCCAATCTTGGCTACTTGAGATCCTGTCACAAACATATAAAAGTTAAAAATAAATAGGCTATAGGTTAGGTTAGAAGCAAAACCTTCCAGAGCTCAGGATGAGCATGCCCAGGATGTATGTGTGTCTTCTGGCAAAGAGGTAAATTATCCCAGGCTCACATTCAGATGATTCAATAGTTGGGGCTGAGCAACAAAAATACCTAGAGATCATCACCATGGCACCAGTGTCCCCATTCTCAAGAAACAGGGAGTCCAGTGGACCAGTCAGGATGCAGGCAGACCTGGGCCCCTGAAGCTTTTGTGATGAGCACACATTTCAGAAACAGATTCTTCTGGGCCTTCCTAATCGAGTTCTATTCAGTGCTGGAGCCACTGAATTTGGAAAGCCTTCGGAATGGGACAGTGGTGGAGAAGTCCTCACCTTGGGGTTCCTCACACACAACAGCTTCCAGGTTCTCCCCCTTCACGTAGTCTGCATTGAGACCTTCTGCAAAGAGCAAGAGCAAAGAAAAGGTGGCACAAGGAAACAAAGGAACCCTCACGACTGAGAATTCCTGACCGACCGAGCCCTTTATGACAGTAAACCCTGTCAGAATCAGCCCCTGGCCCTGGATCACCAGCACATCATCTTCTAGATAAAGACTGGCCATCAAGGAACACATTGCCCAGGACTTCTCATCATCATCCTTGCAAACAGCATCATGCATTAAAGGCCCAACCTCCCCTTCCATAAAGGGCCACTGCCACTATGTCAAGACAACTGCTCTATCCAGCAAAGAGCGTATCAGATGACAGGGCTCTGGACCATCCACAGGACTACATTAGGCCAGAGTCCAGGGAGGTGGAGAGGAAGCAAAGAGCTAAGGGAATGACTGGTGGATGCAGGCTAAGGGAGGAAGGGCAGATATGAATGTTCATGGCTCATTTTGGAAATGCCAGCGTATGACCTTCCCAGCAGGACCTGCATGTACAAGGAAGCCAACTAGCTTCTCCTGACTTCTGTCCCCACCCATGCTTGGAGGGCTCAGTGTTTACAAACAGTTGCTCCAGTCTAGTATGTAGTGTGGGTCTCTCCATCCCCACATTACCCTCAAGGGCAATGAAGCAGCTCAATAAAGGGTCAGAGTCTTCTGTGTCTTCCCTCTCAATAACTGAGGGCCTGCAGGGAAAATGGGTTTTGAGTCTAACTAACCAACTCAATGGACACAAGTCATTTTCCTGGCTTTTACCTGACTTAACTGTTGGGCTCAAAGTGAAATCCAGATGGGCCTATGAAAATGTAGGTAGTGTTCTCCAGCAGAGGTGGTTAAATACCATGCAAAGCCAGGCAGGTGATGGTCCCAGTGCCAATGGGTAGGAGCTGGAAGACATGCCCTGGGGTTCCAGACCACTGCCCATGTTCTCAGTTGGCAAGCAGAAGACAGCGTTTTACTTCTAGTAGCTTCTAGGATATGTTCACCCATGGGTATCTGAATGACCCCTCCCCACCCCATGAACATCCCTGACTCCAGCTATCTTGGGCCTAGGAATAGATGATGCGGCAGGTAATGTCCTCACAACATATCCAGAAAAGCTACAAATGGTATGGTCACAGGCAAGTTGGTGAATGCCAGGGAGAGAGGTGAGGTAGAGAGCAGGGAGAAGGGGGTAATGAGGTTTCCAGGGTCAAAGCACAGGAAACATGAGAAAGTCAAAGCACATTGTTACCTTGCCCTTCTGCTGCATCTGAAGGCAAGACATGAAGCTTAGAATCCTGGAGTAAGAACTCAGCTTCAGGCAATAAACCCTCTGGTATTTACGTGACATTCACTGACACTTGGTACTGAGAGTGGGCAGGGAATCTGGGTGTTCCCAAAATTGTAACCCCTTTGTAGCAACAAAGGTTGGAGGCCAAAGAGGCGAGGGCAAGTCCTCCTAGAAGCCACCTACCCCTCCCTGGGGCTTTCCAGCTGCACTTGCAGATCCCCGATCATGGGAGGCCATGGTGGGCTTTAATCAGCAGCCCAGCAGGACAGTGGAGAAGAGAAGCAAACACCCCTGATTCTTACAAAGTTAGCTACACACGCGCGCGTCCTCACAACCCTTCCTCATCGTGCACCATCATGGTTGCAAGTGGCAGTCATATTGCCTCACAGACATGGAAAATACAGGCTAATTCAGGCTCGAACACGGTCAGCAGGGGGCGCTGTGGCAACACAATGAAGCACAGCTGATGCAGCCACAGACTGGCCAGAGATGGCTCCTTGGGAAAGGACACCCCAGGCCTGAACAATAAGAATAGAGGAGCAATGCAGAGAGGAAACAGCAAAGGCTGTGCCCTGGACAAGGCAGAGCATATAGAAAGGGAAAATGGCTCCCACATTGGGGCAGGAAGAGGGGCTTTGGGGCTTATAACCTCTTCATTGCTAAAGCCTGCACTGGCTTCCTTAACCACATAAGAGGAGAAATGATTAGAAAATGATGGCACAAATGGACTTGATATACTACTTCCAACAAATGGATCTGATGTTGTGCTGCCAACAAAATTAGACTTTCTGCACTTATGAAGTCAGAACCAGGGCTCTAGCTGTCCCCAGACCCCTCCCTGCCCATCACTGTCTAAGAGCATCACTGAACAGGAGAATGGCTGGAAAATCATTTTAAAAAAAGTATTTCCTAAATGACATTAATGACTTTGGCGAGACATACAGAGTAGCACATTTCTTTTAGTTAATTCCCAACTTGCCATAGCTCAGATTCAAATTGTTATCTTTTTATCTTCTTCACAAGACTATCTTAAGAATGCTTATCCGGACTACTGCTTTCCCCCTCTGGCCAGCAAGAAACTGAGTTGTTCTTCGCACATCTCCTTAGACCGAGGCCATTATGTCCTCCCTGAGAAGTGTACACAGACATGGCAGCCTCACACTCCTTCTCATTGCCTCCGATCTGCTGGAGGACAGGCTGGGAGGAGAGCTGCCAGGCCTCTGGGACAGATGCTTCCTGATGCTCCCTCTGTCTCCAAAGGCACCAAGAATGAGGCCGGAGGAGATGAGGACAATGGCCATCTTCCCATTTCCTTGTTCCAGGCACAGTCCAGGATGGTGACGCAAACAGCTGCCTCCACATGCTACGTACAACCTGGGCCCCTTGCCTGACATGTCTAAAAGTTCTCCCTCAAAATCATCTACCAGATCCAGGGTCATCCTTGGCCTCGTGTAAGCCATCCTTTTAGCCAACTAGAAATTCCCTTTGCTTTATAGGTGAGGGGAAAAATCTAGTCTTCACCCCCAATATTTCCTTGTTCCTAACGACCCTACCACCAAGTTTGTGGAACCATGTGCATATGGTATCTTTGATGAAAAATGTTCTACAAAGGCAAAAGAAAAGGGAGACACTGTGGTAAGATGATGAAACACTCAAAGCATCCCAGGAGCAAGGTTAGTTTCCTGGTAATCTCTGGTCCAGGTGCCACCAAGAACAGAGGCCCATAGAGACACATAGAGACCAAAGAAGTTGGCTCTGAGATTCCCAGAAAAAGCAAAGAATCTGAGGAAGGTGAAGAAAGGGGGAAAGTATGGCCGAGTCATGTACCCTCCCTTGAACTAAAATTTGCCATCCCTGAACTACAGACATTTTATTTGACATATTGATGTTGTGGTACTAAAACCAACAAATCTGGTCCTTTTGTTCTCCTTCAATAGCATCCTCAGAGGCTCTGTGCCATGGAGACCCTCTATGACTATTTGATTGACCCACAGGTGCTGCTCTTGTGGCTACAGCCTACAACAAAAGGCATCTGTCCCCTAAAATCCCAGCACATAGGATTAAACAATCACACAGATTTCTCTTTCACTACTACTCCTTCAAACAACTTATGAGTTCATACATTTTAACTAATCTGACTTGAGGAGTAGCAGAGGGCATCCAGGTAGTGACATATCAAGAAAGTAAGAGCAGAAAGGGGTACTCCCAGTATCATAAGAGGACTGAACTGTCCATAGCCATGTTGAAGAGATTCTTGGAAGCCATGGTATTATGGTTAGAAGTAGAGGGGGCTGTGACATTGGGCCTCTGAAGGCTCAGCATTCCCTTGGGTGAGATCTGAGGTCATAAGGACCTCTTGGGGTTCCTCCCATTCTTTGGAAAATAAAACATCACAGTGTTCACAAAGCATTGAAATATGACCTGTTCTAGCTGAGATGCCGGGAAAGTCAAGATCACATCTTCTGGTCCATGTGTTATATTCTTCCAGACCAGGATAACCTTTAATTTGGACTGAATTTGTCTCTAAGGATGTACAAAGTATACCTGCTAGGAAGCCTACTGCTATTGAACAGGCGGGGGGAAATGATGTGAACTTGCCTGGGCTCCTTTCCCTGCTTGGATATATACTTACGCTGAATGCTGAAGCAAAACTTCTTTTGCTGGTAGGAGATGTAGCTGGATACAGCTCCAATCAGGGCCATGGCCAGGGCACTGGCCACACCTGCTATGGTCCCAGTTTCTGTTGACATGCCTGGACATGGAAAAAATAGACAGAACTGAGTAGAAAAGACCTGAAACTCCAAGTGCCAACAGTTCATTCAGGACTCTGCTGCTCTGATAGCCGTAAGTTATGCTGGCTCAGATGTCCAAGTCCTTATAGAAGAGCTATGGCACAGATACCCAAGGCATGACAATGACAAGGTACCCCATGGATTTACCAAGTGTTTTTGGTCTTCTCATCTTGAGAAACATGCTAGGCAGCTTGCAGTGTATGACACCAAGCCAGTGATCTGAGCCTCAAGTTAGCAGGGTTCCCATTGGGTCGCCTATCCCAGGACCTGTGTCTTCATGTTACTTCCACTGAATGGCTGTTCTCTGCTATTTTCCTTGTGATTCTGTGGTAACTGTGGTGATTTAGATGTGAACTTTCCCTCCACAAGCCCCTGACTTAAAGATTGTGCTTTACGCAGTAGTGAGGAGCAGTAGAACCTTTGAGAAGTAATTGGATCACGAGGCTCCACCTTCAACAAGAGATGGAGTTGTGGTGGAATGGATTTCAGGGCTATCAGTTTTTAGGAAGTCATTAGGTTAGGTAAGCAGCCTTCTCCATCATGTGTATCTGCCATGATAGTTCACTTCCCCACAGGCCTAAAGACAACAGGGTCAAGTGACCCGCACTGGAATCTCTAAAGCCATGGGCAATATACATTCTATCTTCTTTTAAATATCTTTGGTATTTTTCATGGTGATGGAAATCTGACTAACAGAAACATTCAGGGAAGGACAGGGAAGAGCAAGCAACTCTAAGATCAGAGTGGGCCAGTACTATTTTTCCTTGTGGTTCCAACAGAGACCTTGGGCCATAGATACCCACCAGATCCAGGGTCATTGTTGCTGCCATAACCACCATCACCTGGGGAAAGGATAAAAATACTTAGTGTCTGCTATGATGCCTAAGACTCCCAGACCAGTAGGCTCAGGCCTCAAGAAATTAATGCTAATAGAGGTTGAGGATTGGGTAAGGACATTAGCCCTGCTTATAAAGGTAATAGAATAGAGATCCTTGTGACAAAATTATTTATCTGATTATGGCAATACTATATGACAAAACTGTAAGGTTAACATGTGTGTGCTTGTGTGCATGCACGCACGCACGCGCGCGTGCGTGCGCACACGCACACACACACACACACACTTCCTGAGTGAGAGACTCCCCTCCCCCATTCTTGAAGGACAACTCCATACAGAACATCAAGTACCATCCAGAATGTCAACTGGCCCTGGATTCATCCTAGGGACTAATGCTCACTGACAGAAGATGATGTTCTCGTGACTTATTGGGAATTGGTGAGGGTACTATTTTAGGAGAGTCTCCTCTAGGGTGTTGGAAGCAACAAGTACTGACATTTTCTTCACCAATCAAAGAGTCTAGATTTGTAAGTATTAAAATATTTCACTGTAGTGAAGGGAGGTTATGGGGATGAGCAGGTAGGATGTGAGAACTCTGTACTTTCCACTCAGTTTTGCTATGAGCCTAAAATTACTCTAAAAATGGCCTAGTTTTGAAGAGTCTTGGGAGAGAAAAAAAAAGTTTGTTATGTTACTATGTGGAACTAAGTCTTCCAGTTAAAAACACTTTATAACGGCCTCTGGTTGCCTGTTTGCTAAGAGGTGGGGTTTAAGAGAACTGGCTGCTCTTGCAGAGCACCTGGGTTCAATTTTCAGCACCCACAGGTGGCTCACAACCATGGGTAACTCCAGTTCCAGGGGATCTGGCACTCTTTGTTTGGCCTCCGTAGGCACCAGGCATGTAAGTGGTACATAGACATACATGCAGACAAAACACCCAAACACATAAATAACTAAATAATTAAATAAAATATACAAACAACAACAGCATTTTTGCTTTGTTTTGCTTTTCAGGCAGGGTATATAGCCCAGGCCAACATGAAACTCCAGAATCTTCCTGCCTTACCCTCTGGCCCAGTGGCTCTCAACCTTTCTAAAGCTGTGACACTTTAATACAGTTTCTCATGTTCTGGTGACCCCAGCCACAAAATTATTTTATTGCCATTGCATAACTATAATTTTACTATTATGAACCATAATGTAAATATCTGATATGCAGGATATATGATATGTGACCCCCCCAAAAGGTTGTGACCCAAAGGCTGAGAACCACTGCTCTAGAGTGATTTGCAGGTATGCATCACCACACCACACCCAGCTCAGCACCAACATTTATGTCACATTATTGCTACTGGAGAAAGCATTCCAGGAATAGGGCCGATCAACATGCACTGACATTCCAGCAGTAAATGCTTAGAGTCCAATGTTGCCTGTCACCAACTCCCTCTGTTGTTCTAAAAGTGGTCATTGTCCAGGGTAAAAGTTAAGCATCCACACGGGCAACCCTTTGCGGAGGTGTTCAAGTCACTAGCTTCCTGAAGTTCAGACTTAGCAATTCAACATTTTCTTCCTTTCTTCTCAAGACAGAGCATGGAGAGGCAGCCTAGCCAAATCAGTGAACTGCATTCTCAGCGAGACCCTGTCTCAGAAACTAGGGTGGAAAGTCATTGATAATGACACTTGACATTGACATCTAGCTTCCACATATGTGCACAATACACAGAGAGAGGGGGAGGGGGAGGAGGAGAGGGAAAGACACAGAGAGAGAGAGAGAGAGAGAGACGTTACTCAGTTTAAATCCTTCTGTCCATCCAGTCACATGAACCGGAACCAAAACGAACCACCTGGGCTCTCTCACTGCAATTACTCAGGCCAAAGTCATCTCTCATTGCTTCTGAGATCCACTCATTTTCTCTGAGCAAAGTCCGAAGAAAGCTGCTCTACAAAATGCATGTGCAAAAGAAAATAGCAGACCAAGTGACAAATTCAACTGGCATTAAACAACTCAATACAGTACATGAAAGTGAATTTCCAATAAAAAAAAAAAAAACAACAGACAACAACTGTAAAACCACAAGGCATTTCAGGACAGCATTTATAGTATCTTAAGAGCAAGGGGTATCTTTTAAACATGATCATGAAGTCAGCAATGCAAAGTAGAAAAGATTCTGTCAAAAGTAAGAACTTCAGTAGTAAAAGCAAAAGCAAGGTTGAGCAACAAGAGCAGACCAGACAGACAAAGAGGGACAGAGACACTCCTGTGCCTCAAAGAGCCTTATAAAGGGGTGCAGTGAACTGTGGGGGCACACACTTGAATTCCTGCATAAAGGAGACTAAAACAGTAGGCATATGTCTTCAAGGTCAGCCTGGGCTCTATGAGGAGACAGTCTCAAAAACAAAACAAAAAGGCGAGATGGGGAGAAAAGGGAGAGACCTAGGAAGTGAAAATTGGCTGTAGTGGCATATGCCTGTTATCCCCACACTTATTACACTGAAGTAGTAGAATTAAGAGGCAGAGGCCCTGTCTCAAACAAACAAAGTATAACGATAACTCCCAAAATATTGGCAAAAGTGTATCTGCGAAGGGACCAACTTACTTAGCAGAAAAGTGGAAAGCAAGCTCGGCGTGTCATAGCCATCCCCATGCTTTAGGGGGAAGTAATGAAGAGAAGGGGAGTTTAACAAGCATGTGCAGAAACTAGAGCCCTTACACACTGGTGGGAAGGATGAGGACCCCAGAATTCATATTTGCCAGAAGCTTGATGTCAATGGAATTTGAAGGTGAGGCCTTTGGGAGAAAATTATGATTAAATGAAGTCATGAGGGTGGAGCTCTCAGTTTGACCTCTGGGGCTTTATCAAGAGAGGAAGAGAGACACAAGCCAGCGCGCTTGCTCTCTCTTACAAGTGATCCTCCCACCACATCTGGACCCAGAACAGAGGCCCTAGCAGATGCTAAGCATATTCCAGTGCCCAGACATCCTTGAGACAGTTGAAAATTGTGCCCATGGAAAATTTCTATGTTCATATGAACACACTTCTTTAGTATGACCTTTGGCCCAGTGGTCCACAACTGTCAAATAACTAAATACAATGTTAGGTCATATACGAAAAGGGGCTCCATAATATAAAAGAATTATTACAAAACAATGAGGAAAAATGGGTCAAGGACATTAACAGGAGATCACAACATATATTGAGTTCCTCATATCACACAGATTCAAGAAAATGAAAATATGACTAGGACAAATGCTTTGTTCTTTGAATTCACAAAGATTACAAAATCATAATGATTGGTGGATTGAGGTTACTATTGAAGAAAATGGATACCTGTTTACTTCCTAGCAGGGCAAAGGGAGGTTGGTGCCACCTTAATGGGAAATCATTTGGTAATGCCATTTAAAGTCACATTTTTTAAAATGTATGCATCTTATGACCCAGAAATTTTAGTGCTAGGAATTTGTCTGACAGAAACAACTATGGCTCAATAGTGTTGAAACACTGAGTATAGTTGAAAATCTAGAGGTACAACTATACAAAATTGGTTACAGGATAAACAAAGTGTGGTGTAACATAGATTAAGTAGTCACTGATGATGTTTCAAAATCTACATAATAGAGAAACATATCCTGAGTATACTGAATAGACACTGGTTTTAAAAAGATAGCAAATGCTGGGTTTAGGGAAACATACCTGTAATCCCAGCACATAATCAAGCCTCCTAGGAGGCTAGGACAAGAGGAAAGCCCTGAGTTCAAGGACAGCCCCAAATTACCTTCTATGGTGTACATTATACTGTAATTTGCTTTCAAGATACACACCCCCTCACACAAATAACTACACAGGATATCTAGCTCTAGGGACCCGGGCTGTAAGTATAGTGACTGCCATTGCTACAGAGACTGCCACTGCAATGGTAGTAAGTGCTGCTATAGCATGTCCCATAGAGATAGGGACAACAACCACGTAACTATAGCAACCACCATCACTTGGATGGATCCTGTAGAATAAGAGGCACTACCTCAGTAAGGAAGTTGTGTGCAGTTGTTTTACTAAATATTGTCCCCATGGAAACCTGTGGTGAAAGTTGATTGCCACTGTGGCAGTATAACGCTTTTGTCCTGGGACTGGGTTAATTGCCACAAGATTGGGTTGTTACAAAGAGAGCCTGCCCTTATGTTTTGTCTCATGGGTATGCCTTCATTTACCCTTTTGCTTTTCTGCCATGTTAGGGTGCAACATGAAGCCTTCAATGATGTAGCCACGAATCTCAGGCTTCCAGCTTCCAGAACTGTGAGGCAAATAAACTTCTTTCCTTTATTACTTACTGTGCCTTGGACATTCTATTACAGTGAAAGAGAATGGATTAACACGTTGTGAATAAGCTCTATTGTCAACAGAGGTGTCAGACTCCCAGCATCTCAAATACAAAGACAACAATGCACATATAGACGTCAGCCTTGAGTCCTACAGAGCCACTTACTAAGAGAAACAGGGACACAAGGCATGTGCTTGCCCTTCTCTGACGGCAGCCCAGCTCGTGGCTCAAAGTGAATGCCTGACGCATCTGGTCGTCAAGGACACACAGACTCACAGAACAGTAGAGTGATTATGCCTACAACTGTTAGGGAGGTATTCAAGTGCTTAAGGACATTATGAGTGTCCCAGTCTTCCAACAAGACACAGCTAGGGCTTTTAGATTTTTCAAAAATGTACTTTTATTGTCTCAAAAAGAAGTAGCCAGAGAAGTATAATTTTTTAAAGCTGTGCACATGGTGGTGCCTCCCTTGAACCTAGTATCTAGAAGGATAAGGCAGGAAGCTCATGACGTCCACACAAGCTGGGGCTAGAAAATAAGACCCTGCCAAGAAAAAGGGAAAAAAAGGAAAAAGAGGGAAAAGACATTGCTGCAAATGACTTACAGTTACCAAATCAAGTCAGGTGGAGAAACCATGCTTAAACATACTGAGTGCAGACACTCTCCCACTCCTCACAGCACAACTGAGACTCTTCTGTACATAACCTGGTACTGTTCTGTCCCCATCTGATATGGGACATTAGAACTCCCAAAGTTATATATTAAGGATAGCTCAGCAAAAATCCCGCTGTTCACACTGCACACTGTAGGGACTGGGAGCGTCTGTCACATCTCTACCCCACAGAAGGAAGTACCTGCCATGTATTTACATGCTAAAGCCAGAAAGATGGTGGAAACAAGTCCAAGGAAACCTCTCTGGAACTTCTACCCGTGAGAGCAAAAGAAGGAGGCTGATTGCAAACAAGGCTGCGTCCAGGAAGGGCAGGAAAGGAACAAGAGTTTCAGAAAGGGTTACAAGCAACTCGATTCAAGAGATGCCGGCGGACCTAGTAACTAACGCATTTTGAGCCAGACACAGTCTGCCAAAACGTTGTCTTGAGGAAACAACGCACAACACATAATGTATTACTTCAGAAACCCATTCTAGAACAACAAGTAAAGCTATGTCTTGAAGACTCAAGTCTGAGAAGTGCACTGACTGAGTTCTAATTTATGGAGATGCGGTGCTTCCCTTAAACCCCTCATCATGAGCTTGTTTTAGGGGAAGGGACGGTGTCAGTGATTCTCTCCCCTGTCCCAGTTTCATCCTTTGATCTTCTTTCCTGACACCTGTGATGACAGAGGGGATAACCGAAGCTAACAATTGATTATTCTTCACAAGACAAGCTCCAATATGAGCCTAATTAAAGACTTCCCTAACACTTAGTGCTTGCTAAGACAAGTACTTTTAATGAAGGAAAGCCCCTGGCATGTCACTCAGACTTTCAACCCTGTGTATGCTTACATACTCGACTACCACTGTCACCTCCCTTCTGCAAATAGCAATTGTCACCCAGGAGTAATTGGCTCATTTGCTGGGTTTGCCCTTTAAATACTCCATGTTCTCCTGACACCTGGAAGTTTCATTTAGAGGCTTTTAGGACTTTTTCCTAGAGACGACACCATCCGGAAAGGTGTTTCTGGGGACAAATTGACTATGGTACATTTTAAGCAAAGAAAGAGAATACTGTTCCCATATGAAAGGCACAGTGCTTGCAAGAAAGAAGCAATGCTATTACTTCAGCCAGGGCTTGGGGGGGCCTTGAAGAGTTATACCCACATAATTTCATAACTTGCAGCCTTCGGACCCTGCTACAATTTTTCATCACAACAGGGAATAATAAGGAAAGAGTTCCAAACACCACACCTTATCATTCTAACATCTTATCACAAGTGATTGTGCTTAAGAGGTCACAGCTGTAGTGTTTTACACCTACAGGTCCCAACATAAACACACCCACAAGCCTGCTCATACCTCACACCCCATGCTTAAGATTCAATCTGGCACACGCTACAGTGAAAGGTTTCAATTATTAACAGCTTGGGGGACTAAACACATGTGACTTTGGGAAGGACGTGACTATTCAGGGGCAGCATGAAGAAAATAATAATGTTTTCCCAGTTGTGGTGATGGCTACTGAAATCACATGTATGATAAAATTTCACACACACACACACCACACCAATGCATATTAAGATGAGATTTGACAAAATCCCCAGAAGGTCAGTGGGTGGCTTTATTGTCAGCTTCCTATTTTAGATAACCTATGGATGTGCAGTAGAGAATCCTTGGGAGAAGCTGGAAAAAGAGTATACAGGATCCTTCCTGAACCATTTTAAAACTTCTACTGGTCCAACATTATTTTTAATACAAAGATATTATTAAAAGATCTGATTGCGTCTTTAAAATATTTGTCATGTTCTGTCTGAACCCTCCACTGCATGGAAGACTGGCTCTGTAAATAGGGCGGGCTGTCGTCTTCTTGATACCGTGATGCCTTCTGTGACTGTCCTCCCATAGGTTCTTGTCACTGCCTCACAAACAGGCTTCTCTGCTAATGTGGGGACATCAGCTCAAGCAGGGCAAAAGGGCAGTTTCTCTGCGTCGGCTTATAAATGGGCCCCCACTCCCAAGAGTGACAAGCCACCCCAAGTACTAAGTGCAAATGTCTAAGGCTTGTTTTCCAGAGGCTGAGCAATAATGGTGGGCTTTACCTGGAGACTGAATGGTCAACATTTGAATGACAATTAGGTCAGACAAAGAAACATCCCTACCTTTATTCTTATCAGGTTTGTATTCCCCACCTCCTAGTATGTCCTCAAGATCCTTGTCTGAAAAACCTAGGAAAAATACATTTCAGTGTCAAAACTATTTCAGCAGCAAGAAATTTGTACTAACAAATGTTGTCAATGACACTTGCATGTTCTTCATGGTACCGAGAGTGTGGCTCAGTGATACAGCACATATAAGGCCCTGAGAACCATGCCTAGTGCCACAACTCAGGAGAAATGGGGGAGAAGGAGGAGGAAGGGAAGGAAGCTGAGAGAGAAGAAAGAGAATGGAGATGATAAGCAAAAGTCCAAGAGGCCCCTCAAATTGCCAGCATATGTGTTCTGTGTATTTGGGTGACACACAAAAAATGAATATAATCCTAGTGATAAAGTTGCATTTTTTGTCAAAGATGTTGAGATTTTCGTCAAAGTCATTAAGAGCCTGACTTAACAAAGTGATCTCTTTCAAAACTTCTTCTGGGCTTCCCTGAGCTCAGATACAGGAGGCTGAAGTCTGTCCTCTTTCTCCTGATTGTCTTAAAAAGGACTTTCTCTATAGCTGAAGGGAAATCTACTCTATCAACAAACCACATGGCCTTATCTTGAATAGAACTGTATCTCAGATAAGACCTCCATCCCAGTATCTGGAGTGCAGCTATCTGAGACTCTGAATAGAAAACTCAGCTTTTTAACTGAACAAAGAATATCTTAACTCATTTTGTTTTAGATTATTGGACTTTATTCCAATAAAACTTTATGTATAAAATAGTCATTGGGCTGGAATCAAACTATGGGCAGTAGTTCATGTTGCTCTCCAGACAACATAGGTTTATTCAGAGTGGTACAGCTGTAGATTTCATGTTGCTCTCCAAATTTTCAGGACCTATTTACAAAAGCATCACTTTTATCAAATTTTCCTGTATTGTGGGTACATTATTTATACATTCTTCAATTATACATTCTTCAAGTGATTAAAAAATTTAAATTGTCTTGGTATAATGCATCCCATGGTATGTTCTTTTTTTTATTTTATTTTACATGTCGATCCCAGTTCCCTCTCTCTCCCTCCCTCCCTCTTACCCACTCTGCCCTCTCACATGCATCCTGACCACCCTCCCCTCCCATTCCCCCACCCCATCTTAACTCATTTCTTTAATAAAAAAAAAGGTTCCCTAACTTTCTCGTGATTTGTGACACAGCCATAGATAACTAATAGAAGAAGCAGAATTCTTATTAATTATACTTAAACTGTTAAGTACATGTCTTCCTGAAGGTCCTATGTGCTGAAATGAAAAGTGTGCTTAGCTCCTTTCTGCTATATTCCAAAGTAGTAGAAGTAACTACGGAAAGTCACTTGCATGATTGTTTCAGTTAGAGTTGCTTTTATCTGCTTTGTGTCATAAGAGGCCACTCTTTTGAAGCATTTCTTAAATCTGAATGAAATAAGACCATCAGTTCAGGATAGCCACTGATGGCACTTGTCAATAAGATTTCAAATGAAGCCTGTATCAGTTACTGTGAGTGTAACAGCATCCCACAACATGAAGACTTTTTTTCCCAATGACATTGGTGATATCAGTAGCAGATCTGGCTTTAGGTTTTTCATAATAAAGTGTAACATTACACTGAAGTTTGAGAAACTTCAAGACAACACGGTTTTCCAAACAATTTACGTGCAATGTCACAAAACAACAAATGCACAAAAGTTCAATCAATGGGTCCTGTGGCTCAAATGTGAAGTGACCCTATAGACCCAGCTCTTGGAAATATGTCACTGGGAACTGACCTTGGAGCTTCATCAGCCCACTTCCTGTCTCTTTCTCTGCTCTTGCTGAATGTGGACACAATGTGACCAGCTGAGTTTTGTAGAGACCCTATCACTTCTGAAACCATAAGCCAGCCCAATGGATGAATGAATCCTTCCTTGCTTTGCTTGTCAGGTACTTGGTCAGGGCAACTAGAAAAGTAACTAAAGGGTGACTGAGTAAGGAAAAGTTATTAAACACTTCTGTTTATTCATTTATATATTTGTTCTAAAACTCTTAATTTTAATTGTAGTGTGTGTGTGTGTGTGTGTGTGTGTGTGTGTGTGTGTGTGTAGGCATGCATGTGCCATAGTCACATGTGCAGGTCAGAAGACAGCTTTCAAGCTGTATATCTCAATATGAGAATCCAGGTATCTTCTAGCAAGATGAGCAGTCTAGAAATTTCTGAGAAATTTAAAATAATGGCAGTCTTCTCACTAAATTGTTTTTACCTTGCCACACATAGTAATTTCTCATAAACTCTACACATATTATGTTAATATGTTTATCTTTAGTATTAATCATTTTGGACTGGTAATACTGTTTTTTAATCATAAATACACTGATGGTAAACACTGAGGGATATGAACCACATAGACAAAAGTTATTGAGATTTCCAGTAATTTGCGGAATCCCAAGATGAATAAATTTCAGCATGACTATTGTAGGGTCCTGCTGCAGCTTTAAGTGGCCTACATCTACAGTATTCTAAATGGCTCTGAATGATATTACAGGTGTTTTCTTGGAATTCAATTCAATTGTACTGGGGAGGTGTGGCCCAATGGGCATGCTCTTTTCTGGGGATATGTGACTCGATAAGAACTGGGGGGAAGGTCACTTGATCAATTGGACTGAGGAGGGCTTGCTGAGGCCAGGTTTGGTGACCTTACCCAGACTTTCCGGATCACAATTGGGAACTAGAGGAGTGGCAGCTCAGCACTGGTGTTTATTTATTATTCAATTACATATTTGTTCTGTGTTGTGAGTGTGCTTTATTGATTGGCACCTGCTAACAAATCGGACTTGATCACATTGATCCCAGAGTCCCTCCCTCATTACAGGTAACAAGACAGACCCTACCAATAACTGAAGCAATGCTCCATGATTTCAAGCAGCTAGGACTTACCTCCTCCTTCTCCTGTGTTTGGTTTTTTGCGGCCATCTAGATCATTTTGATCATCCAAGGCATCAGCCAAGTTAAAATCACCTGTTTCTGGGGACCATGAAAACAAAAGAAATAATCACCAATTGTTCTGGCTAGTTTAGAGTCATCTTAGAGGGAAAGCGCCATGTGAGAAAATGTCTCCATAAGATCAAGGTGTAGGCATGGCTATAGGGCAGTTTCTTAATTAGTGATGGGGGGAGTAGTCCACTGTGAGTGGTGCCATCCCCGGGATGATGGTCCTGTGTTCCATAAGAAAGCAGGTTGATTAAGGCATGGTAAGCAAGCCAGTAAGTAGCAGCTCTCCATGTCCTCTGCATTAGCTTCTGCCTCCAGGTTCCTGCCCTGTTTGAGTTCCTATCCTGATTTCATTTAATGATGAACAGCAATGCTGAAGTGTAAGTTGAATAAACCCTTTCCTCCCCAACTTGCTTTTGGTCATGGTATTTCATCACAGCAATAGTGATCCTAACTAATATACTCACTTAAACAAGTAGCTGAAGTAGAAATCCTTCCTTACTTCTCTCCTCAGAGAGGTTATCTTACCCATAGGATTTGATGGTGCTCTAGTTGTTCCTGGCCTTCTAGTTGTGGTAGTGGTGGCATGACTCCATCTCTCTGAAAATGGGAGGGAAGACAGCAAGAGTCATATGTTTAATATAGAAAGTCACACCATGAATAGAGCATTTGAAGTCCCCATATGACCTCATAGTCACTTGGAAAAGATGCCAAAGAGATAAATAGAAAAGATTTAAGTGAGGGATATTCTTTATAGGATGGGAATTGAGAAGAATGCACCATTTGGTGAGTAGAGCTAGAACATGAGCCCAGAACTCCTGACCACATGGACTAGGGAGTTCTAGAGCTTAAGCAGGATTCCAAAGACCTTCAAACCATGGTTTCCTCCATTATTAGTCCAGCAACTGAACTGCAGGTATGCCTGGAGATGAACGGACTGCCATTTTCTATGATGTATAGACAATTGCCTCATAAACTGAAACTGGTTCACACACACACAAATACACACACACACACAAATACACACACACACACACACACTTTGTAAATGGCCTTTGACTGTAAGCAGGTTATTTTAGAAACATGGGTTCCTTTTACATTTATTACTTGGCACTCATGAGTTTTTCAACATTTTCTTCTATTAAACTTTAGAATTTGCCATAATTCTTCCTAAACTGAAGACATTCCAAGGGGAAAGTAATAACAATGCTGTAGCAAATCACACAAGAGAAAATGTCATGAACATAGTTGCAAAGAAGTGAAGTTGACCATCATGTTATACCATTTGCAAAAATCAACTAAAAGTGGCTCAAAGATCTAAAGATACGGACTAATTTTTAAAATATTTTGGAAAATATTTGTGATGTTGATTTGGAGATATTTCCTGTATATGGAAGTATAACTATCAAAAGAAATAACGGAAATGAGCTCAAGAGATGACTGAATGATTAATAACACTAGCTACTTAGATCCAGGTTCAGTTTCCAGAACTCACATGGCTGCTCACAAGTGAAGATGAAATTTCTTGTCCTGCCTGGTCCCACAGCCATTTTTTTCCCAAGTAAATACATAAAGACTTACATTAAGTATAAAATGTATGGCCAATGGCTCAGGCTCCCTACTGGCAAGCTCTCTCTTAATTATTAACCTATGTCTATTAAATTATGTATTGCCACAAGGCTGTGGCTTACCCATAATCTGGCAAGTTACTCCTTCAGCAACTACATGGCTTAAATAAACACAGAGACATATTAAGTGTTAAACTATTTGGCCAATGGCTTATGGTTTTTATTGGCTTTTTCTCTCTTAACACAATTGTATGTAACTTTAGTCCCATTGAATATGACACCTTCTTCTGTCCTCTTTAGGCACAAGGTGAACAGAAGGAAAAAAACCAAACAAATAAAAAAGAGGAGGTAGGAGAGAGCAGGGACATCAAAACAAAGTATAGTGATACATAATGCATTATATGTGAGATATATATAATATATACAGTAAATGACAGGCAAGACAGACAGCTTAGGGTTTCAATTTCCAAGGAATAGGAACAAGTGGCGGGTTGTTCAGATCAATGAAAATATGAGACTTCAGCTAGATAAGACCTGAAAATAAATCAATGTACCAGTTAAAGAAGAAAAACCACATAAGTATACCACTGACATGAAAAGATCTACAACATTTTATTTAAAAGGCCTTTTTCACCAATTTTGGAATAAAGGAGAACTCCCTCAGTTTCAGGACTGTTCTATAGAAAACAGTTAAAGAATAAATTGTATTCCTGTAAGATCAGGAGTGAACCAACCTTCCCATCACACAGTACTGCACGATCTACAACTAAAAGAAGAGAAAATATGCAGATTTTAAAGGAATCAATCTGTCCATATTTTCAAATGACTATGTGATCATCGTCACAGAAAACCAAAACCACAGAGAATGTAAACATGGGGAACTAGTGAACAAATTCATTAACATCTTGAAGAAGAAATCAATAGCATCAACATGCAATAGTGATGTATATATGAAATCCAAAACGTACCATTAAAAAGTAAATGAAAACAAAATATTGAAATATATACCTTTAAAACAATGTGGAAAGCAATTATATTCAGATAAAGTAAACTTAGAAGCAGAAAATTATAAAATAAAGGCAATCTAAATAAACAGAGATAGAGACATACTTAGATACATAGTGAGTTCACAGATGGAGAGCTCAACAGAGTAAAGATGTCAGCTCCCACACTGGTGTGTGTGTGTGTGTGTGTGTGTGTGTGTGTGTGTGTGTGTGTGTGTGTGTGTTCAAAGCAAGCTTATAAAAGTGCCACTGATTGTTTCTAGAATTAGACAAATTTGATGTAAAATTTTGATGTAAAGGCAGAAACCTTGAAAAGAATTTAAGTGGGATGAATGACTCTACCTAATATTAAGGCTCATTTTATAGTTGCAGTTGTCAAGATGTGGTGGATGGATAGATATACAGGGCAACAGAGTAGAATGGAGAGCTTAAAAAATCTCGATCTGCTCAACTGATTTTTATACATATGCAAAGCAACTCAAGGGAGGAAAGAACCTTTTCAGCAAAAGGTGCTGGAATAATTAGACTTCCAAATAAAAGGCAACGTGTTTCATTTTCTAGAAAACTAACTGCAAATGGATGGGTTATGTTTGCTTAAATATAAAATCAAAAAACTTCAGAAGGAAGTATTTCACAATTGAATGCTTGGTAAAGAGTTCACACACTTCACAACAGAACCATGACCGGTAAGAGAAAAAATGTTTACAAAGTTGGATAGGCCTGGCAAAGTGGCACATGCCCAGCACGCAAGGAGCTGAGGTAGGAGGACCTTGCATTGGAGACCAGCCAGGACTACTTACCAAGACAGTAAAACTTAGTTTCAAAAGAGGAGGGGGGGAAAGGAGAAGGAAGATGTGGAGAGAGCAGGAAAGACAAAGAATTATAGAAAAGAAAAAACAGCAAGAAGTTTTCATGGCGATGAAGTTCCCTGGGCTGGAGATGCAGCTCAGAGGTAAGTATACATAGAATAAAAGGAAACAAAAAAGTGGGGAGAGCAAGAAAAGGAAAGCTGAAGTTGGCTTTAAAAAAATAAAAAATTTGAAATCTTTATTTCTGCTATAATCATTCAAAATTATAAATGGGAGAAGAGACGTTACAACTAATACTAAATAAATACAATGGAAAATATATTCCAACAAATTAACTAGAATTCTAGAAGCATACAAATTATTGAGACTTGATTACGAAAAATGTAAACAGATGAATAATCATTTAAAAACTGAATAATCAAAGACCTTCCAACAAAGAAAAATACATGGAACAGATGGCTATAAAAATGAACTCTTGGAAGAATTCAAAGAAAAATTGAAGCTAATGCTTCTGAAATTCTTGCATATTTGAAGAGGAGGGAATAATACCAAATACACTTCATGAGATCAGCATGACCCTCATGACAAAGCCAGATAAGAATGCCACAAACACGCAAACCTTCATGAACAGAGGCAAAAACCATCAGGGAAACATTAGTAGAATTAATAGAATTGAATTAACAGAATTCAACAGCACACTTAAAAGATTACACACTGCCGGGCAGTGGAGGTGCATGCCTTTAATCTCAGAACTTAGGAGGCAGAGGCAGTCTGATCTCTATGAGTTTGAGACCAGCCTCGTGTACAGAGGTATTTCCAGGACAGCCTCCAAAGCCACAGAGAAACCCTGTCTTGAAAAACCAACCAACCAACCAACCAACCAACCAACCAACCAAACAAACAAAAAAGATCACACACCATGATCAAAGATCAAAACTGGATTTATGCCTGGGATACAAGGATTGTTCAACAGAAGTTAAATCAATAAACATTGAAAGTATGAAGCATAAAAATCATGTAATCTGTGGTGATATAATATTTATGACTTTTGAAAGCATGCCTGAGGATTTAGAAAAGCAAAGTCAGCCTCAAGCTATAGAAACCAGGCACACACATTTAATCCCAGCAGCCAGAATGTAGGAGGTGTTGGTACACACCTGTAATCCTAGGTAGGACTCAGGATTAAAAGAGAGCTGGAGCTCTGTGAGTCCAAGGCCACTCAGATCTACACAAGAGTGAATCAGTCTGAAAGAGAATTACAGCTCACACCTTTAATCCTGGTACTAAAGGGGTATAAAAGACAAGAGCAAGTAGTCAGTAAGAGGCATTCGTTCTCAGCCACACTGAGGAGAGGCAGCAGTTTGAGACTTGGTGAAGAGCTCATGAGTGGATCAGCCCTTTCAGCCAGAGCTAGAGGTGAGATCTACTGACTTGGCTCCTTTGCTTCTCTGATCTTCATCTTGAAGTTTGAGCCCCACTATCAGTCTCTGGGTCATTTAGTTTTCATGTTACAGTAATCACCTCAATTGGTATAGAAAGATAATTTGACGAAATTAAAGAGCTTTTCTGGTTACTCTTAGTTGTTAACGTTCGCTCTAGAATCACCTGAGAGACAGGCCTCTGCCCATAAGCTATGGGATTGTCTTGACTAGGTTAATTGTGTTGAAGAGAACCAGCCTTTGGATGGCACTGTTTTAGAATGAGACCCTGAACTGCACAAATAGTACACAGTGAGCAGAGCACAAGCGGTCTTCCCTCTCTGCTTCTTGGCTGTGAATACGATGTGGGCCACCTCACACTCCTGCTGCTTTGTCTTCCCCACCACAACTGCTATATTCTCTCAAACTGAGTGAAAGAGAGAGAAAGACAGAGGCAGAGAGAGAGAACATAAAAGAGGGAGCCAATATTGGTTTGAAGATAAAGTTGAACACAAAGAAAGGTTGAGAGAACTACAAGACTGCTCCCAACTAACAATCTCAGCTTCCGTGGAAAGGCTATCATAAATGCCCTTCCCAGAGAGTGAGATCAACAACTAACTTCTCCATGGAGCCCTCAACTAATGCCTGTTGAAAACAGGAGCAAACACCCATACATAAACACTGAGTCGAACTAGAACCCAGAAGCAGATGGAGAGGACAAGACCATGCGGCAGAAGCACATAGAGACAGCTTACCTGAACAAGGAGGAGCTAAGGGCCCCAGACTGATAGCTGGGAAGCCAGCAGGGGACTGACTCGGACCCCCCTGAATATGAGTCTCAGCTAGAAGGACTGAGCAGTCTAAGAGACCTCAGACTGTATCCCTGGTGCTCAAAAGAACTTTGCGAACATATCCCCCATGGAGGGATAACTGCCTTAATCTAGAGACAGGAGAGAAGCCCTAGTCCCTACTTCACAGGACCTGTCACATCTACATGACCCCAACCGGATGGCATTCCCCTACATATGGAATTGTGGTGGGGGAATGGGAGGGGAGGGTGTTTAGAGTGCATGTGAGAGGGCAGAGAGGGTAAAAGGGAGGGAAGGAGGGAGGAAGGAATGGGGGGAGGGAGGGAGAGGGAACTGGGATCGACATGTAAAATAATAAATTAAATTTAAAAAAAATGCTTTGACTCCAAAATTTAAGTTCAAGGACAAGTTACTGGGGAAAATGAAAAGATGTGGATTCCTTCCAGACTAATGTGGTTTGATCACGCCAGACCGCCTGAAACAGAGTACAAGCTGATCCTACATTCAAAACAGCTGGACAAAACAGCCCTACAGACTACAGCTAGGATATCTGAATCTTCTTCGAATCCCCCAAGACAGCGCCCCTTACCAGCAGGAAGTAGTTTGGAAAGAACGACGCCCAAATTCCCAAATATTGTGTATAAATGTTTGTTTTCATTTAATTGGACTTTGTTATATAAAATTAAATAAAAAAAATAAACCTAAAAAAAAAAAAGTAGAAGACACCAAAAGTTAAGACATACTACATACTTTGACATGAATGAAACAAAACCAGCACTAGCTAAAACTAATAAGATACTGTCACAGTCATGCCTAGGAGGAAATTCATTGCCACAAATGTTTTAATTACAAAGAAGAAAGATCTACAATCAATACACCTTATTAACCTTTCGCCTGGGAAATGGAGGGAATACACTGAATACAGAGTTAGCAGAAGGAAGAGCATGAAAAGCAGACATAAAGGGAGTAAAGATCAGAAACACAGCAGATCTGAAACAAAGATGGCCTTTTCAAAGATCTACAAAGTGGACTGGTAAGATTTTTTTCTTAAAAAAGAGATATCAATGGTTATACAAACCATACTTTAGGGCAAGCTCGTTGCTCAGCAGTAGTATGTTTTGTTCTGTTCTGTTTTTGTCTCATATTGCTTTGTTTGGCCATTTTTTATGGCTTCCGATTTGATTTTTTTGGGGGGTTTATTTCCGTGTGTGTGTGTGTGTGTGTGTGTGTGTGTGTGTGTGTGTGTGTGTTGTACTTTTTCTATTTTGGGGGAAGGGGTTGTTTTGTTTTCTACTGGTTTGCTTGTTTCTTTTAATTTGTCAGTTTTCTAAAGAAAGCAAGATGGAAGTTAAATGGATGGGGATTGGGGAGGATTTGGAAGTAGATAGGTCAGAGGAAACTGTGATGAAAATATATTGTATGGGAATTTTTTTTTAATTTTCAATAAAAAGACATGGTTTGTTATTAAAATGAGAAATGGGATTGTATAGAGGCCATAGTGGTTAAGAGCATGTACCACTCTTGAAGAAAAACTGAGTTGGGTTCCCAGCACCTACATGAAGCAGCTCATAACCACCTGTAACTCCATAGGTGATCCTATGCCCTCTTCTGTCCTCTACGTTCATGTACACACACACACACACACACACACACACACACACACACACACACACTTTAAAATAAAAACAAACTCTCTTTAAAAAATTACAAGTAAAAGAAATGATATTACTACTGACCTAACAGAAATATCAATGATTTTAAGGGAATGAATTTAGTCAAAGTATAAACTATATTGTTTGAAAATGGACAGATTCCAGAAAAGACACAAATTACTAAAACTGATTCAGGAAGAAACAAAAATATGAATAGATATAAAACAAAAACAAAAAAATCAGACAAAACCTCCAAGGGCCTGAGGGAATTCCCTATGTAAGCATGGAGAAATGAATTTGGGTCACCATAATCCCCATAAAACCTGGACATACTGGTATGTAAGTATAAACTTGGTGCTGAGTAAGAAAATATAGGAAGACCCCTGAAGTTTTAACAGTATAACCCAATCAGCAATCTTAAAGTTCAGAGAAAACTATGTCTCAGAAATAGAAGGTGGAAAGTAAATAAAAAGACACCTGGCATTGTCCTCTGACCTTCACACATATGCATGTGAACTCACACCCATGTGTGCATTCACACTCATTTGCACCACCATATACATGAACACACGCACACGCACACACACACACACACACACACACACACACACACACACACACACACCAATTAAAATTAAAACAACTTCCCATGAAGAAAAATCAAGGATCATATATCTTCATTGGTGGATTCTATAAAACACTTAAAGAATAAAGACTAATCCTTCAAAAAGTCACCCACTACCACATCTGAGAGAGTATTGGCCATTGACGGCTGTTTTGAGAGGGAGGTGCATTTTCCTTTGGAAGTGCGGCTGTTGGTAGGGTGCCCAGTGGATGGCCCCATACCCATGTGCATATAGGTAGCACTAATTAGATAAACTTGGGAGTTGGGAAGAAATGTGTTATTATTTAGGAGAGGGTATAATCAAGGTACAACCTTTGTATGTATATAATTTTCAAATAGTAATTTTAAAATATTTAGTAGAAGTGTGGGAAGCCATCCAGAAAATAAAAGAAGATAATACTTTCAAATCCATTCATAGAGACCATTATTATTCAGTATTACTTTGATGCCAAACCTGACAAAGGCACCATAAGAAAATGGAGATTTATGTCTATTATGGACATGTGTGCAAGATCCTCAACAAAACACAAGAACACAAAATATAACTCAAAAGCTCTGATGGATTTATAATCTCAACCCTGGAGATGCTGAGGCAGTAGATCTCTATGATTCTGAGGCCACACTGGGTTATATAACAAGTGCCAGGTCAACCAGAGCTACACAGCAAGACTCTGTGTCAAAATACACTAAACAAACAAAATTGAGTCATATTTCAATTGATTTTTTTTTCAAAATTTCTAAAGCAATTCAATAGAAAGATAGCCTTGTGCACAAATGAGCAATTTGGAGCAATTTGACATTCACAGAAAATAAAAAGCATTTTAAGGAAAAAAGATAGGAAAATTCTAGCTCTCAAACCTGGCAGCAAAAGCATAATCAATCAAACTTAAAACTGTTTGCTCCAGAGAAGACTTTGTTAATGGAACAAAAACCACATACCTAAGATTTAATGTCTACAATATATAAAGACTTCTTAAAAGTCAACAGTAAGAAAGTACAAAGTATGACAATTTGAAGTTTTGGGAAAGTGTCTCACTATGTGTCTCATCTGTCCTGGCACTCACTGTGTAAACCACAGTGGTCTTGAACCCACAAAGATCCACCTGCCTCTGCTTCGATTAAAGGTGTGTGCCATCATAGCCAACATGCACACTTCTTTAACTTTCAATCAATTAACGAAGTCTTTTCAGTTTTTAAACTCTTACATAATGAATATCAATAGATAGAGTCTACAAAAAATCTCTTGAGATCCTCAATAATTAGGGAAGCATTGAGACAAAAATGCTTAAATGTTTTTGTCTGAAAGTTTTGTGTTATGCTAATAAAACAGACACAGGGCTGGAGAGGTGATTCCATGGTTAAGAGCACTGACTTCACATTCAGGGGCCTGGATTTGATTCCAAGCAGCCACATGACAGCTCACAACCATCTGTAACTGCAGTTCCAGAAGATCCAATGACTTCTTCTGGCGTCTGCAGGCACTTCATTCATGTAGTGCTCAGACGTGCATATAGGTAAAAATACCTATATACATGAAAAATAAATGCCCAAAAATAAAATGGACCAATAAAATAAACATGAACATTTATGGAGAGAGACACCAGAGAGCTACAGAGACAGCCTGTAGTTTCAGAAAGTTAGGACTTACCTCTTCCTCCTGCACCTGGTTTCTGACGGCCATCATCTCCATCGCCTAATTCACCAGTGAAGTCAAAATTACTTCCTTCAGAGGGCCCCAAAACACAAAGGAAAAAACAAATGTATTAACAAATGGGTACAAGATAAAAAAAAACAAAAACAAAAACAAAAACAACAACAACAACAAAAAAAAACAAGCCAGACATAATTTACTGTTGAGACAGACTCTTCCTGTGTCCTGGAACTCACTATGTAGGCCAGACTGTCCTAGAAGTCATAGAAACCTACCTTCCTCTGCCTCCTGAGTGCTAGAATTAAAGGTAATGGTTTGCACCAGCAGTCCCAGCTCAAAAACAAATTGAAACAATACCCATGTTTCATTTCATCATTTAAAATAATGAACTAAACTGGAAAATGCAACAAACATCCCACTTAAATACACTGGACAAATAAGCATGTGAATCACAGGTTAAAGCTACAATACAATTCCACCACACCTCAACCAAAATGGTTAAAATAACAAATAGTGAAAATACCAAATGTGGCTAATATGTAGAGACACTGGTCCCTCACAGAATGTTAGAGGGAATAGAGACTAATATAACCTTCCTTGAAGAATCAACTCCCTCTTTAAAATCAAAAATATGTATGCAAATTCCACCTGACCTGGTCTAGCCAGATAACACATATCATGTGTTAATACACAAAGTATATCCCAACAGTGATTGCAGAAGACTAGAATCATAACAAATATCTTTGATGACTACAATAGCATGACACTAAAACTGAATAGTAAGAAAAAGCTAGGGGAACACACACACACATGCAGAAATTATACAACACTCTTCTCAAAAAGTCAAAGAAAAAAAAATCAAGAGGGAAACCGAACAGTATCTTGAGACAAAAGAAAACAGAAGTACAATACACTCAAACTAAAAGTAATCGTAACAGGAAAGACTCCACCAAAATGGGCAAAGTTCTCACATGGTCTCATGTTACTCCTCAGAAAATTAGAAAGTAAGAGAAAGGAAAAGCCAAACATAGCAAAGGGTTTTTTTGTTTGTTTGTTTGTTAAATGAGTACAGAATGGAAATAAACAAACAGAAGGCTGGGAAAGATGTTTCAGCAGATGAAGTGCCTGCTGTGTACAGGATAGACAGGACTGTTGACCTGGGAAACTCTATCTCCAAATCCACCCAAAAATATATGTATGTACTCTTGGAGGCCAGGAGTGTCAGATCCCCTGGAGATAGGTTACAGATGGTTGTTAGCTGCCCACCATAGATGCTGGGAACCAAACTCTTAACGACTGAGCCACCTCTCAAGTCTGAATCTAGATTTTAAACAAATACCTGAGGAACAGAAAAAAAAAATCACAAATCACAGAACCTGGGACAGAGTTCAGAGAAAGCCCTGTGAGGCCTGTATGGAAAGTGAGAAAGCCAGACATTCACAACATAAAGGCACCATACCCCTGACTTCAAACTACAGTTTGAGATACTTAATCTGTATGCAACAAAGCTGTCAGAATTAAAAGCAGAATAATGGTGGCAAAAAAAATGGACAACCCATAAATATACCGAAATGCAACCCTTGAAGACAGTTGCTTTTGAGAATGTACAAAGGGTTAAGGATAGTGTTTTCAGAAGCTGCTGGTGGGAAAACACAAAATAATAAAATTAGACCTTTATTCCAGTACAGTTACCAAGTAAAGATTAACTTTAAATCTATTAAATGCAATACCCAAACCTGTACACCTATTAAAAGAAATAGTGGGCATTGATCCAATTGATAGTTTCCTGAACAGCATTAAGTAGAAAATCAAAATGCAAGGGTTGGTGTAGCTTAAAGGTCAAGTACTCGATTAGCATGCATGAAGCCCTGAGTTCAATATCTGGCACCACACAAACGAATACAAACAAAGGTAGAATAATAGGCTTGCATCAAAATAAAACACTTCAGCATAGCTAAGGAAACAATCAGTGCAAAAGGGAAAACCCTAATCTCACAATAGCTAGTTTCCAAAATGTACAAAATGTACATACTGACTCAGAAGTCAGTATGAAGAGTTAAAAATTGATAAGAGACATTGCCCCAAAGAAATTATATTTATGGTCAATAGACAGGAAAAAAAGATAATGTACAACAACTCTAATCATTGGGAAAATGCAAACTAAAAGGACAATGAAGCTAGCTATGGTAGTGTACACTTTAATCCTTGCACTCAGGAGGTAGAAGCATGAAGATCCCCATCCAGAGGCTGTCTGTGCTACATACTAAGACTATCAACAAAAGGGAAAGAAAGGAGATGGAAGAGAAGGATGAAGAAATGGGGAGGGAGGGAAAAATCATAAAAACAACTCATAGAGTTTTTCCACCTTATGCCTAATAAATAGCTGCTATCAGAAAGATGAATGACAATAGGTATTGGAGAGGATATAGACAAAAGGGAATCTGTGCATACTGTTGGAAGGAATATAAATTAATATAGCCATTATGAAAAATATAATGGAAGCTCTTAACAAAATGAACATAGAATTATCATATAATCTGGTTATACTGTGCTTGGGAACTGAAAATGGTATGTCAGAAGGATCTGCATTCTCATGCACATTGCAGCATTTTTCACGGCCAAGATATGGAAACAACCTAAAGGTTTATCAGTGGGTTAAATGAATAAAGAAAATATGGATTATTAGACTAGGATATAACTTGGTGGTCGCATGATTACTTAGCATGTGCAAAGCCCTACCGCAATCCCTAGCATCGAAAAGAAAAAGAAGAAGAAAGTTCTATGTATAATATGTCATTTTTGAAAATAAAATAAAAAGGAAATTTCAACACACTCAACAACACAGATGGACAAGTGCCTCCTAATCTTACTTCTATGGAATCTAGAAATGCAGAGCTTCGAGGGTTTATAGCCTTGCCTCACTACCAGTTCACTCTCTTCGCTTTCTATTTTTGCTTGTTGCTCCAAAGAGAGTCCACAAGCTTCCCTGGTGGTTTGAAATCTACGTGAGCCTTTATTTTATTCAGTTTTGTAAATAGGAGACCAAGAAAGTACAAACACCTGGCCTGAACCTTGACCATCAATCAGTAACAGGACTGGTAGAGCATGCCTGTAATCCCAGCACAAGGAGGATTCCCCAGTCTCACTGACAATGAGCTAACCATTCTCACACTATCCCGGATCCCATGAAGTATTTTGTCAGTTCATGGTACTTTGCTCTTCATCCAGGCCCTTGGGAGGTAAACTGTCCACTCTAACTATATTCAACTGAAAAGACTTGAGGGCAAAAGGTTATTGCTAAGAGAAGCTTTCCTCTGAAATGGACCCATACATCTGGCCCAGTGTCCTATTGAGTATGATAGTTACTGAGTATCATAAGTTCTATCTAGGCCTGTTTGGGCTACATAGTGAGTTAGAGGCCAACCTGGACTAAATGCTCAGACCACTTTTTTTGAGACAGGTTCTCACTATACAGTTGTGCCTGGCCTTTTACTAATTATTGATGGAAGATGTCATTTGGTAAATATGTTTCTCTTATTGGTTAATGAATAAATCCTTGTTGGCCAATGGGAAAACAAAATAGGCAGGACTAGGAGACAAGGAGGATTCTGGGAGACATAGTAGAGGAGAGTAAAGATGTAGGGACTTGAGAGAAGAGATCCGGACCCTCTCTCTACTAAGACAGGACCACATGGAAATACTTAGATTGATAGAATTTGGTTAAATTTAAGACAGAGCTAGCCAATAAGAAACGTTAGTAACAGGCCAACAGCTTTATGATGGGAGATGTCATTCTGTAAATATGTTTCTCATACTGGTTAATGAATAAAGCACTGTTGGCCAATAGGAAAGGAAGATAGGGGGGACTAGGAGACAAGGAGGAAAGAGGAAGGAGTAAGGAGGAGTCAACATGGAGAGACTGGGGAGAGCACAATGCCAGCCCCTCTCCGGTAAGACAAGACCACGTGGAAATACTTAGATTAACAGAAATGGGTTAATACTTAAGACAGAGCTAGACAATAAGAAACTAGTAACAGGCCAACAGCATTATATCAATACTGAGTCTCAGTGTGTTAATTGGGACTGGTGCCACTGTGGGACCGGCAGCAGGGGAAAAACTACTTGTAACAGCTTTGTATCTAATACAGCATCTCTGTGTGTTATTGGGGGCTGATGCAGCTCTGAGACCAGGCTGGTGGGAAAAAATGCTCATAACAAATTATGTACAATTATGTGTACTTATACAGAATTTCCTGCCTTTGCCTCACAAGTGCTGGGCCTAAAAGGTGTGTGCCACCATGCCTGGTGTGGTGAAACCATTTTAAAAGCAACCAAGCCATCAGAAACAAAACAGTACTTTACTTCTAATAGTCCTCTCACACTCACATATTCTCAAATAAAAATAAGAAAGAAAAAAAAAAAAAAACCAGGCAAATCCCAATCCGGAGCTATTATACAAAACATTCAGTTGGGTCCCATTTTCAACTGTTAAGATCATGGAGATCAGGGGAAAGTCTGAGAAATTGTTCCTGCCTGTGGAGCCTATGGGGATGATACTGCATATAAAATGTATGAGCTATGCAGCACAATGGGCAGCTTATTGGGCTCCTACACAGAAACTAAGGAAAGCAGATAACATATGAATACTGGTTACTAATAGAGTATTAACACAGGTTCTTTCCTTGAAGCAAAGCTAATGTAAATGGTACTGACATAAAGGAATTCTCTGCTGCTTTATAATTTTTTTTTCAAATCTAATTGTTCCAAAAGTAAATTTTATTTAAAAAAATCATTTTCCTACACCAAAAAAATTGAATAATTATCAAATAAAGACATATAGGATATATAACCTCAAAATTGTTAAAGACCAAAAAAAAAAAAAACTGAAAAACAACATAAACAATGAAAGTCAATCAAACCCATAAGAAACATCACAGGGGAAAGGGCAGGGAACATGTTAAGAAAATTATGAACTTTGGTTTAGCTATGTATACAATCAGTGAAAAGCATTCATAAAGAAGACAAAATCCCCAAAAGCAAGTGCTGTCAGAGATTTATGTCATGAGGTTAGG